AAATGACAGTTGTGAAGCAGACCTAGAGATCAAGTTCAAACTGTAATAGAAAGACAAAGAGCTCCTAGAGGGATGTTTCCAAGAAAGAAATGGAACCAACAGATTGATTACCTGACATGTTTGACCATATGAAACAACCTTTGTAGTTCTTGTGGGAATGTGAAGGGTTAAATTCATTTACATAGATTAAAAATATCCATAGAAAGGAATATCTACATTGATATCTAAGCCAAAAAGAAAAATTACAATTTAACTCTGAAAATAAATGTTTTAAGAGAGGAAATGTAGGGACTTCCCTGGCAGTCCAGTGACTAAGACTGTGCTCCCATTGCAGGGGGTCTCGGTTCAATCCTTAGTCAGGGAACTAGATCTCACATGCCACAACTAATAGTTCACATGCAGCAATTGAAGATCCTCCATGCACCAACTAGAAAATCCCACATGCCACAGCTAAAAAAATAATGGAAATGCAGTCAGAGAAATCCATACTCACAATCCATAAACCATACTCTACAGTCAAAACATTATACAAATTGAATATTTATTTCATAATTGATCTGCAAAAGATGCTTCCCAGGTGGCTCAGTGGTAAAGAATCCGCCTGCCAATGCAGGAGATGCAGGTTCGATCTCTGGGTCAGGGAGATCTCCTGGAGTAGGAAATGGCAACCCACTCCAGTATTCTTGCCTGGAAAATTCCACAGAGAGAGGAGCCAAGTGGGCTACAGTCCATGGGGTTGCATGAGTTGGACACAACTGAGCACACACCCAAGAACAAGGAATTGATCTATAATTCTATTTGGATGACTAAGGGAAGATGAAGTATATGTGATGGAAAAGGAAATATAAGAGCTACATCTCCTTCTTTTCTATTTTTTATAATTTTATTTATTTCCATTTATTTATTTTTGACTGTGCTGGGTCTTCTTTTTTTTTTCTTAGTTGCATTGCAGTGGCTCCTCTTGGTTGTGGAGCATGGGCTCTAGGGCACATGGGTGTCAGTAAGCTGCAGAACGTAGGATCAACAGTTGTGATTTCCTTTCTCTGGAGTACAGACTCAGTAGTTGTGGCACATGGGCTTAGTTACTCCAAGGCATGTGGGATCTCCCCAGATCAGGGGTCAAAACTTGTGTCTCCTGTATTGGCAGGCAGATTCTTTACCACCGAGTCAGCAGGGAAGCCCCTACATTTTCTATGTGTTTTTCCATCTCCTTCTATTTTAAATAGGAATTTAAAAACTCCTATTGACCTTCCCAGCCAATAGCTGTAAGAAATAAATTTCTGTTGTTTATATGCCCTTCCCCCAATTTTAAAATTAGATCATCTGTATTGGTCAAAATATGGAAGGAAATATCAGGGACAAAAAGCCTGATAAACCAGTAGTTGCCTTTGGGGGGTGGGAATCAGGGGTGGTAAGGGGAGGGGAGAAGACTACCTTTTATTTTTTAAACTTGTTATACTATCGCACAGTTGCACTCATCTCACACGCTAGTGAAGTAATGTTCAAAATTCTCCAAGCCAGCCTTCAGCAATACGTATAACTGTGAACTTCCAGATGTTCAAGCTGGTTTTAGAAAAGGCAGAGCAACCAGAGATCAAATTGCCCACATCCGCTGGATCATCGAAAAAGCAAGAGAGTTCCAGAAAAACATCTATTTCTGCTTTATTGACTATGCCAAAGCCTTTGACTTTGTGGATCACAATAAACTGTGGAAAATTCTGAAAGAGATGGGANGATCAGTCCTGGGTGTTCATTGGAAGGACTGATGCTGAAGCTGAAACTCAAATATTTTGGCCTCCTGATGCAAAGAGCTGACTCATTTGAAAAGACCCTGATGCTGGGAAAGATTGAGGGCAGGAGGAGAAGGGGGCAACAGAGGATGAGATGGTTGGATGGCATCACCGACTCAATGGACATTGGTTTGGATGAACTCCGGGGGTTGGTGATGGACATGGAGGCCTGGTGTGCTGTGGTTCATGGGGTCGCAAAGAGTTGGACATGACTGAGCGATTGAACTGAACGTTTAGTTGATTTTGAAAAATGATTTACAAGTATTTTTTGATTCAAAATATGTTTTCAGAATAGTAATTGAGGAACTTCCCTAGTGGTCTAGTGGTTAAAAATCTGCCCTGCAATGCAGGGGAAGCATGTTTGATTCCTGATCAGAGAACTAAGATCTCAGGTGTCTCAGAGGAACTAAGTCCATGAGCCAGAAGAGAGTCCATGCACTGAAACCAGGACCTGAAATAGTCAAATAAATAAATAACAGAATTGTTTTTTTAAAGGAAATAAAATTTAAAATTGCAGAAAAACTGAATTTTTTCAGTTTTTGAATTCATGAATTCATCACCATCCTAGGTCCAGACATCACTCAGAAGCCAGAGCTGTTAGCCCTAAAAGCAGCAGCATCTCTGCAGAACAGAGACACATTAACCAGGCTCAGGAGAGTAATATTTCAAATCAGATGCCAGTTCATTAAGTTATAAGGGGAAGCAGGGCTTTGAAGCAGACTGGATCTTCTTGTTCACTGATGAGTGCATTCTCTCCCTGTGGGCGGATCTACATAGGGAACAGTGTGGTTTTCAGCAGGTTGCTTGGTGATCCAGAGCACAAGTGAAGTGGGGAGGGGGCGGTGAATTGGGTAGTTTCAAAGAATGATGTTTCCATCTCCCTTGTTCCTGGACCAGCATCTTTGTCCCCAGACAGGGCTAGGATGACACTCTTGATCGCTTTTCATTGATTGTCCAGACTCCTTCTTACTAACACCTTCTTCTCTTTAGTTGTATCGATACCTTTATTCAGGTTACAGTCTAGACTGAGCCTGACAATGATTCTGTTTCCAGTATGTAGACTGGCACATCTCTACTTCAAAGCATTAGAGACTCGTCTCCAAACAGACAACACATTTACGAAGCACCCCCGATGTGTCAGGCTCCGTTCTAAACTCTGGAGTTGCAGCAGTCAAGGCTGCCATCTGACCCAGCCCTCAATGAGCTTACAGTCTGGTGAGGAAAACAAAGCATGCAATGTGAAGGAGCAGCCTAACTCTCAGAAGACAACTTAATTTACTTTATTCTAGTTCCTGAGGTGAGGACACATCCTGGTTGTCTCCAGAAACCACCTACTACAACGCACCATGGGGAGGGGCTGTTGAGTAATGAATCTCATCTTGATAGAGAAAGAAGATCCAATTCTCAAGCACATATTCCCAGCCTCCCGTGGATTCTATGCCCCAAATCTTCCCAGTAAAATGATTTTTCTGCTTAAATGCATCTGTCGTTTGTAACCAAGAACTCGGACTAGTACAGCAACCATTTCAGATATCTGTAGACCAGAGAACAAGTTCCCAAAAGACAGTTCCAACCCCTCTGCCTCAGGGCTGCAACCAACCTGGAACCTTTCTGATCCGTGCCTTCCATTCAGCACAAAGCAGGACACACAGGCTGTCTCAATGAAATCTGGTTGGCTGAGTCACTTAGTAAGTTCAATCACAAGCTGTTCTATGTACTTAAATTGCAAAGCTAGTAAGAACTAGTTGCTGCCTTCAAAGATGTCCACACGCACCTTCGAGCTAACATATGCAAAACTGAGGCTGTCATCTTTCGTTCCTTTTCTGTCAACTTGTATATCAACTCATGTTTAGTGTCTCATGCTCCAACCACACTGAACTGTTTGCACATCTCACATCCCTCTGCTGGGATTTCAACAGTGAGTAGTTTGGTGTTCTTAGACCACAGCGGTGGGAGAGAAAGACAGCAGGTAATTGGGCTGCTGCTTGTAGACCAGACCTTGAAGGCCAGTTAGAGCATTCTAGATGTATTGACTGCTATCCCAGGTTACTTTCCTTGGTCTGAATAGAATACCCCATCGTTTAGCTTTTCCTCTTCTACTGAAGGAAGTCTGCATAGAAGAGGGTACAAGGTTTATATGTCTGTCCATCATCTTGGCCAGAGATGCAGCTGCAGTCGAAGTTCTCATTTTACAGATAACAGAGGCTTCAAAGGACTTGACTGTAGGGCTAGCAAGTAGCAAAACAAAGGCTTGAATGAAGTTTCCAGACTCCAAATTCCCATTCTTTCCTGTTTTAGGACAGCTCATACAGAGTGTTTTGTGTGTGTTTGAGGTAGGGCAATCGCCCTGATCTGTTCTTGGGGGAAAATCCTCCTTATCATCCATACCAGGGGCTAAGTTTGTTCTGCTTGCCTCTCCTGGTCTAGTTCCCTTCCCTAGATACTGTATCTTCATAAATCCTCACAACAGTCCTGTGAGGTATTACCATCCCTTCATTATTATAGATGAGACTGAAGCTCAGAAAGTTTAAATTTCAGGCTCCAAAGTTCAAATTTCAGGCTCCGGAATCTTCACCACCTTGCTTCGCTGAGGTCCGTCCAGGTTTGGGAACACCAAGCTGATGAAGCAGGGCCAAAGGGTGATTCAGTGCCGGGGACCAGGCTGGGGTTTAAGGCTGAGGACCAGCAGGTGGCGCGGTGGAGGTGCGGCTGCCCTCTACTACCTCACCCCTCACAGGCCAGACGTACCAGAACTAAACGGGGCGAGCTCGGGGAAGTAGGTTCGCGGGGCGGGGAGTAGTTTTTCTGAACCCAGAGTCTTCAAGGAGCTCCGTTCTCGTTCGGCCTCCAGAGGACCTCGCGAGCCTCGCTAAAGAGTCACGACCCCACCGGGCGACCGCCGGGCCGCATCAGCCAGCCGCCAGCTCGGCGCTCCCCACTGTGCAATTCATTTGATAGGCCTGGGACTCCACAGCCCCCACCTGTCGACCGAGGAGGCGGGGCGTGGGCGGGGCTTGTCCCGTAGGGCCCGCCCCCTGTCCCTGAGCCGCGGGCGCGCGACGAGATATAAGGCAGCCTGGAAACAATGCGCCTGCATCTCGCGCTCCCGCGCCGCTCCCGGGAGCGTCCGCGCCGCCGTGCGCGAGCGAGGGCGGGAGCGCGCGCTGGGAGGCTAACGCCTGTGTGCGGGCCTCGCACTCGGTGGCGCGCATGTGCAAGTGTGCGGGCTGCTTCGCTGCCCCGAGCGGGCGGGGAGCCGGTCCGCTCCAGGTGGCCGGTGGCGGGAGCGAGGTGAGGCTGAGGGCAGCCTGGGAACGGGCGCGGGTCCCGGGGGACGGGCTGAAGTCTGCCTTCTGGGCAAAGCGCGCCTCCGCCCGACCTGGCCGGGCCCTTGGAGCTGCGCTCCGGGCGGCGCTGGCAAAGTTTGCTTTGAACTCGCTCCCTGCAGCCTAGTCCGCGCGCTGTGAGCTGTTTCCCCAGGCACGCTGACCCGGGGCCGGGCTGCCCGGGACGCTAGGGAAGGGCGCGGGCTCCAAGCCGTGAGGTTGGAGAGGTACGAGAGCCTGGCAGCCAGCTGTACTGGGGGGCCGGGGGACGCCTGCCTCCCTGGGCCCGCACCTGGGTCAGCACGTCCCCCTTCCCTCCCGCAGGGAGCGGACATGGACTTCGACTCGTACCAGCACTATTTCTATGATTATGACTGCGGAGAGGATTTCTACCGCTCCACGGCGCCCAGCGAGGACATCTGGAAGAAATTCGAGCTGGTGCCGTCGCCCCCCACGTCGCCGCCCTGGAGCTCCGGTCCCGGCGACGGAGACGCGGGCCCTGGAATTGGTCCTCCGGAGCCATGGCCCGGAGGGGGCGCCGGGGACGATGCAGAATCCCGGGGTCACTCGAAAGCTTGGGGCAGGAACTACGCTTCCATCATCCGCCGAGACTGCATGTGGAGCGGCTTCTCGGCCCGGGAACGGCTGGAGAGAGCGGTGAGCGACCGGCTCGCCGCTGGCGCGCCCCGGGGGAACCCGTCCAAGGCTCCCGCCGTCCCGGACAGCGCTCCCAGCCTCGAAGCCGGCAACCCGGCGCCCGCTGCCCCCTGTCCGCTGGGCGAGCCCAAGACCCAGGCCTGCTCGGGGTCCGAGAGCCCAAGTGACTCGGGTAAGGACCGCCCCGGGTCTTCCCAGAGGGGGCACCCCATGGGTGGCCAAACCACTGCCGCTGAGGTCAGGCACTGGGTCTGCGCAAGCCCTTCCGCCATCTCCCTCTCCCTCTGGCTGAAGCTGCCGGTGTAGCCCCCAGCGGTGTCTGTCTGGCACGTGGGAGTGTTAGTAAACAGTTTGAAGAAGTGGCGTGGGAGCCAGCGTCCCTTTGATGATGATTGGAGCCCCAGGGGACAAGGGAGACAGGGTGAGGCTTGGCGCTTAGGGAGAACAATACGGGGGTTGGACCTTAGGGGATTTCTGCCCTCCGAAGGCTGGAAGGGGTCCCTTAAGGGTCACTCCAGACTTGAATTTTTTTGTTGCTGTCTCTTTCTCTGGGAAACTCACTACCCTGGGGAGAGAAGCTGAGAAGCCTTTTGTGCAAAGCCGAAGCCTTCATCCTTTAAAAAACCTGGTCTCCTGCCTGCTTTATTTTAACATGACAATAATGGCTCCTGCTGCATCCCCCCTCTTACCACGTATTCATCCTCACCATTACCCATGAGACAGATAGTGGAGGAATGACTGCTCCCCATTAACAGATGGAAAAACCGAGGCTTAGAAATAGGAAATCGCCAGAAGTGAACGCCAGCTTCCTGCCATCCAGCCAGCTTCTTTTGCTCAATCCTCCATCCCAACCAGGCACTTTTCTGATGTTTAGAGGAACTTATTGGTAGATTATCTGAGAAGTGGTATATCTTGCCATTTTGCTCTGGCCTGAGGTGGGAAGGTGTTCCTCTAGGACAATTCATCTGAGGGCTTTCAGCTGCTTCATTTGTATTCAACAAATGTTCACTGGCCTCTATTTTGTGCTAAGCTCTGGGGTTAGTGCTGGGGGTCACAGATATGGAGCTCCAGGCTCCCCTTCCCCATCCTTGAATGCAAGTGTACATCTCACTGAGCACAGCCTGCTGCATCTGTGACACTAGGCAATGTTGTTCTTAGCCTAACCTCTTCTTCGAGGTGCCCATGAGAAATACCGGGAAGGATGTTTTATAGGGTGCACACTGAGGCTTGTGTCAGATAAATCAGGACTGAAAACTCAAGTAGCTTTTACGAATAATTTACATGACCATTTACAGGGAACTGGGGAATGGGTATGGAGGTTGTCATACACTTAAGGGTGAGCATAAGGAAGGAAACACAAAGAATTAAAAGTCAATTTTTTTTTTCCGGTTCACTATGTTAAGGTCATTTTTAACCTGCTTGCTTTTTACACCAAGACCTTCTGTTTGTTTAATGGCTGGAATGGGAACTTTGAGATCAAGAAACCAATAAAGATGTATCTCGACAAAAGCTGATGGAACGGTAGAGTGGAAAGTGCATTGTTTCGGGAATCTGAAGATCTTAGTTTTAGATCCAGAATGGTGCTGTGTGGACTTGGCTGACCTGAGTCTCAGTTTCTCCCTTTGCACATTAGGGAGTTTGATCTGATCATCCAGCTGAGGACATGTCCTTGTCTGGGTAGAGTTAGACGCTGCTCTCTGAAAAGGAGTATGGTGTCTCACGTTATCTTTTTCTTAGGCAGAACCTTCCCCAACTATGGGGCTTAACCCAGAAGTATTAAAGGTTTGGGATGTGGGGAAACCTCCTGAATCATTTTCTAACCTGCCCTTTACCCTGAACCTGTTTGCAAGCTCCTGGTTCACTCACAGGCCACATGGCCCAGAACAAAATGCAACAGATTGCAAACAATGAGGGGGGGTGGGGAGAGTGACTGACGGCAAAGCTCAGCCAATAGGGGCTAGGGGCTGAGTAAGACCGCATTCCAAACTCCGCTCAGCCAGCCAATCACAGGTCTTGGGGCCAGGAGGGCTGAATGGTCAGGTTTTATTAATGGAGAAATAATGCGATTGTCCACACAATGGAAGCCTTCCTGACAAAGGGGCTCAAGCTTCGTGATTTGCGAAAGAGGCCGAGAACTGAGCTCTTCTGTTGTCAGGCTGAAATGCATAAAGGTGGCCTTCTCTGTGGGGGCTGCAAAACAGTGCGGAGCAGTAACGTTCTCCCCTAATTGTCCCTCTCCTGGCTGGGGTAACCTAAGAGATCTTGGAGTAAGGGAATGATGGAGGCAAGTCCAGGTGTTGCTAGTGTTTTGGCCCCTGTATCAAGACATTCCCTTGCCGCTCAATTCCTGCCCCCAACTCCTGACCCCCTAGCACAGGTAGCTTGGAAATGGTCTTTTGTACCTTTGTGAAGTTCCTGCGGCTTCTGCCGACCTGTGATTACAAATCAATCCTCTTCTGGTCCAGGGAAGTGGGTGGGACAGGCGACCTATAAATGATGGATGACTTTAGAAACCCATTGAACCCAGGAGCAAAATGCTCCTAAGGGAAACCCTTTCCCTCCCCTCTGTGGGTGAGGAGGGATGGGTTGTAGCCCTCCCTTCTCTGACTCTTCTGCTGAAAGGGATGGCAGAATAGAGAGGTGGGGGAATAATAGGATTTATAACTTGTGAAAAGTAACAATTCCCAAGTGCAGGCTGTGCTGGGCTGGAACAAAGGGCAGCTCTGCCCACAGACCCCTCATTTACAATTCTGATGGGGTATGAAAGAGCCCGACTGGGGAAGATCTTTATAGTTAAAACTTTGTCCCAGGCCGATAGCTCTTTCTCTCCATCCCGTCAGTGGGGGAGGGGAAAGCCTGTGCAGACTGGGGGCTGTTGGCTTGGGTCTGCCTTTTGTTCTTATCTAAGCCTTGCTGTGCAGAGAGAAATTGGAGAATATTTTCCTTCCTGCTTATTTCCCTTCCTTTCCTTCACACCACCCTTAGCCTTGATACAACTGAATCAGTTGTCTTTCTCCCCACTTGAATTTGTTTACATCTAAATTGGGAAGATGTTACCTCCTTTCCCAAACACCAGCATGGGGTCTGTGTATGTGTTTCTCATGGAGTGTGTTTCTTCTTGATCTCGGACAGAGGGTGAAGAAATTGACGTTGTGACAGTGGAGAAGAGGCAGTCCCTGGGTGTCCGGAAGCCGGTCACCATCACAGTGCGAGCAGACCCTTTGGACCCCTGCATGAAACACTTCCACATCTCCATCCATCAACAACAGCACAACTATGCGGCCCGTTTTCCTCCAGAAAGCTGCTCCCAAGGAGAGGCTCCAGAGCCAGGGCCCCATGAAGACGGTCTGGAGAGAGATGCACCGGAGGAAAAGGAAGATGAGGCAGATGAAGAAATTGTGAGTCCCCCACCGGTAGAAAGCGAGCCTTCCCAGTCCTGCAACCCCAAACCTGTCAGTTCCGACACTGAGGACGTGACCAAGAGGAAGAACCATAACTTCCTGGAGCGTAAAAGGCGGAATGACCTCCGTTCCAGGTTCTTGGCCCTGAGGGACCAGGTCCCTACCCTGGCCACCTGCTCCAAGGCCCCCAAAGTAGTGATCCTGAGCAAGGCCTTGGAATACTTGCAAGCCCTAGTGGGAGCCGAGAAGAGGATGGCTACGGAGAAAAGACAGCTCCGGTGTCGGCAGCAACAGCTGCAGAAGAGAATCGCGTACCTCAGTGGCTACTAACTGACCAAAAAGTCTGACTGCTCTGTCTTCACGGAGACCCAAGTTTATCTTTTAACCTCCCCTCTCCCCCTTAGGAATTTGCACATTTCGGTTCAGGTGGGGCGGCCTGGACAATAGATTCCCAGAATGCATTGCAGCCGGTGCACACACAAGAAGGGCTCGCATTCTTGGAAACCTTGCAACGCGGCTCTGCCTCTGCCCTGACTTGCGGGAGCGCTGTGGCTTCTCTGGCGCCTTTGGCTTCTCAGGCGGGCAGCACTGAGGAGACTTGGGGTCTGTTGAGCTCACTAGCTCTGAAGAAAAGCCTGACAGATGCTATGCAACAGGTGGTGGACGTTGTCAGGGGGCTCCTGCCTGCATGAAATCTCACACTGCGGATGAGCCTTGGACTGAGAAAGGATGCTCCCACTGGTGTCTCTGGGGTGATGCTAGGACAGCTGGGCCTGGACGCTCTCCCCAGGCTCCTTTTTCCAGGAGACATACGAGCTGTCTTGAGTGAAGACGAGCTCTCAGACTTGATCAACAGGGACCATTACCTCACTGTCAGACACTTTACAGTAGCTGAGGAGTCGGAAACCTTTAACATATATATATTCCCATGTTCGTTGACACCCCCTCCTCCACTCTCCATGCTGCGATCTTGAGAATTTTTAAAGAGCTTGGCCTTTTAGATTCTTTGTCTCAAGACCCTCCCTGCCCTTTCCTCTGAGGGCAGAGACCATCCCATCCTCACCAGAAACTTTCGGTTTTCTTCCACCTTTGTTATGCAATGGGCTCTAAGGCCATTTCCCACAGGTCAGAAATACTTCCCCAGGACACAGGGCAAAGAGTCCCAGCCTGTGGCCGGGGGAAGGTTTGGAGTCCTGGCTGTGAACTTGTTCCCTGCCCAGGTGTTTTCCATCTTGGAAATCCTCTCAAAGCAGATGTCAGGCACCTGAGGGGGAAGAGCTGTACCACTTCCTCTTTCCCACCTCCCTGTCATTTCAACCTCTGACTGATAAGTTTGAAGTTCTACTCAGTTCAGTTCAGTCGCTCAGTCGTGTCCGACTCTTTGCAACCTGATGGACTGCAGCACACCAGGCCTCCCTGTCCATCACCAACTTCCAGAGTTTACTCAAACTCATGTCCATTGAGTCGGTGATGCTAGAACCATACAAACTGTGCTTCTCTTGCAACTCCAAGGAGCTTGCTGTCTCTGTAGCCACCCTTGGGCCCTCTGCCAGCCTGACGTGAGTCAGAATCCCATTCCCAGAATCTGGGCCTTATTGCAGTTCTTACTGGGAGAGCTGCTGGGACTCATCCAGTGCTCCAGAAGGCGGATGAGCTTCCTGGTGGGTTTGTAAGAAGCTTCCAGGAGCTCTGCTCAGTGGACCATGATGGGTTTTACCCAACTGGGCTCAGCCTCTCCAGGTGGATTCCAGGCACAGCCTCCAGTCTGAGAAAGTCACCTAACCCAACAAGTGTCATGTGGGCAACTCTAAGTCTAGCCTGGAAGAAAGATCGGCCCTTCCAGCACTATGCTCAGGGCACCTGGTGCCTACTGGATGGGGGTTTGAAAATGGGGGAGGGAAGGATGCTAGAGCACTATATGTGGCTCTGGGAAGCCAGCTGCTACTTCTAAACCTGTTATGCATGATGGTCTGCTCCTGAGGTTGCTTCCTGGCCTCAGAGAACCCCAGTGGAACTTTGCAAAAAGCCCCCCGCTTCTGGAGCTTGGTTTTGGGGAGCCAACTGACTTCTGGAACTGTCTTTGGAGAACAGGTGGGATGTAGGTTATTGATGTCTTACCTGAAGAGCTCGTGTTTTATAAGCTGCTGTTGGGTATTATGCTGGGAGCAGTCTTTTTAATACTGTATTTTTGTATGCCTTTTGCAAAGTGGTGTTAATTGTTTTTGTACAAGAAAAAAAAACAACTCTGGGGCATTTCTCCTATTGCAAAAGTCTGATTTATTTTAAAAGGCAGATTTACCTGAAATTTTGTATTTAGTTGTGAATACTGATTGCCTGATTTTAAAATGTTGCCTTCTAGGACATCTTCTAATAAAAGATTTCTCAAATGTGTCAGAGTCGGGGGTGGAGGGGGCAGCTTATGCCCACCATGTCCCCCAGAACCAAAAGACACTGTTTTTTAGGGTAGCCACAAGTGATCTCTAACCATGTTGCTAACCTGGTCACTCCACCCTGGGTTCCTGAAATGCCATTTCAAACATGTCTAAACAACGTAAGTTCAGTACTCAGTAAACACGAAATTGTCTTGTGAATTCCAGAGTGCTGAATTTGTATTTTAGGAGGCTTGAAATCCTGGTGTTCCACCATTAACTCATTCTGTGCCTTTTACCTTTATCTGAAAGCCCTAGTTTCCCAACTTGTAAAATGGTGATAAATGCTACTTCGCAAGGGATTGTTGTTACTTAGTTGCTAAGTCGCATCCACCTCTTTTGCAACCCTATGAACTGTATAGCTTGCCAGGCTCCTCAGTCCATGAGATTTCCCAGGCAGGCGTACTGGAGTAAGTCGCCATTGCCTTCTCCAGGGGATCAAATTCATATCTCTTGCATTGGCAGGCAGACTCTTTACAACTGAGCCACGAGGGAAGCTCATCACCAGGGATTGGCAGACATTAAATGTAGGCTTTTTCTTTTTCAGCTGCAAGGCTTGTGGGATCTTAGTTCTCCTACCAGGGACTGAACCTGGGCCATTGGTAGTGACCATGCAGAGTCTTAATCACTGGACCGCCGGAGTATAGACTTTAAACTGCTTTAAACTATAAAGCCTTAAATCTTTTCAGGTGGTACTTTTCTTGCCATAGGTATTTTAATACCTTTTTTTTTTTTTTTTTTTAACCATGCCTACCGCCTTGTGGGCTTCTCAGGGGGTACTAGTGATAATAGAACCTGCCTGCCAGTGCAGGAGACAGAAGAGATGTGGGTTCGATTCCTGGGTTGGGAAGATCCCTAGAGAAGGGAATGGCAACCCACTCTAGTATTCTTGCCTGGAGAATCCGCATGGACAGAGAAGCCTGGAGGGCTACAGTCCATAGGGTCACAAAAAGTCAGACATGATTGAAGCGACTGAGCATGCATGCATGCACTGCCTTGCAGGATCTTTATTCCCTGACCAGGGATCAAACCCATGCTGCCTGCAATGGAAGCACAGAGTCCTAACCACTGGGCAACTAGGGAATTCCCTTGCAGGATGTCTTTTTAAAAATTTTATGAGAATCGGTGATATGATGTGATTTTTTTTTTTCTTTCTCCTTTGATTAATACAGGAACGTAGTTCTCAGAAACTTGCCCTAAATGCAAGAGGGGAGACTTTAATAATAGCCACTCCTGATGGAGCACTGCCTATGTCTAAGCACCTTGCTCCTTCCTACATGTTAGACCACACCAATCATGTGCCAGGACTACAGAAGAGGGAACCGAGGTTCTAAGAGTGAGACATAACTGCCTGACGTTACATAGCTAGTAAGTAAATAAGTTCAAGGGATTTGAAACCAGCTCTGCCTATCTCTAGAGCCAGAGGTCTTCACCACCACATAATAATGATTAGCTTCTTTTGTTATCATGGGGTGTGTAGAGGAAGTAGACAGGGAATTTCATCACTTAACTGCTTGCTGGAACTCTCCTTGGGGCCACTGTGCCTGCCACTTATCAGGAAGAAGTGGAGCAAATGTCCTGTGACCAGCCACTCTGCCACATTTGTGGGTTGAGTAAGTTCGTCTTGCCCCAGAGAAGCCCCTTCTAGGACTGTGAAAGGAAAACAGGGGCAGGTCAGAAAAACCGTGCGCATCATGGTAGGAGAAGGCCACTGTATGTCATGTAATCCTGCCTTACAGCTGAGACCTGGGTTGATATTGCCCACCTGCATTCCTATGAAGCCTGAATCCAAAAGCTACTATAAATTCCTCACATTTACAAAGTGACTCTCATCTCAACCTGGTAAGTAAGCAATATCTGCCACTTGGTACTGGAGCCCAGACAGTTTTGTTTTTGTTTTTTGGCCACACCTTGTGGCTTGCGAGATCTTAGTTACCTGAGCAAGGATGGAACCCGTGCCCCCTGCAGTGGAGTGGAGTCCTAACCACTGGATCACCAGGAACTCCTCCAGACAGGTTTCTTGCTCAAGGTCACAGGACAGAATCCAAATCCTAAAACCAGTCGCCTGTCAGGTAAACTTCCCACTCCACCCCTATGACCCCTAGGTCCCCAAACCCAGGGCATAAATAGCTGTTTGATAAAAACAGACTGGATTACTGGGATAATTTCCTTAAAACTCCATATCGCTCTTTTAGTTATAGTCACTCTGCTCCCACTGAACAGAGTGGCTGTCTGGGTCTTCGTGGCTGTGTTCGGGCTTTCTCTAGTTGCGGCGACCAGGTTCTACTCTTCCTTGCATACGAGTACGCAAGGGCTTCTCATTGTGGTGGCCTCTCATTGCGGTGCATGGGCTCCAGAGTGCGGGCTCAGTAGTAGTGGCACATGGACTTAGTATCAGACCCACATGCCCTGCATTGGCAAATGGATTCTTAACCACTGGACCAGCAGGGAAGTCCCCATTCTTCTGCTTTTGAGGCCATTTGTTAAGAAATAAGAATATTTGTAGGCGCTTCTCTCCCTTTACTAGACCTTGAAAAAAATTCACGAGTCCTCAGTAAAATCCTAAGAACTCCTAGGTACAGGGCCTAAAGCTGATCCTAACGTTGCTTTACAAAGCTTAATTCTCACAATAACCTGGAGGAAAGGATGGTATCAGCCCCATTTCACAGGTGAGCAAATTGGAGCTCAGAGACATTGAAGTCATTTGTCTGAGCCCAGACAGCTAGTTCAGACTGCTTGACTTGCCTGACTCTTAAGCTTCAGTTCCTTTGAGTCTGAAACTCTGCTGAGAAAGGAGTGGGAATAAAGCCATCTCCTGGGGGGAAGAAAGGGTGTTTCTGGAATGTGAAGTATTTTAAGCTCCTTCCTAGCTCACTTCTGCAGACTCCTACCTCTATCTTTGTCTGAAAATAGCCAGGAGTTTATTCCTGGATTTCGGAGAAAATTTTCTACAAATTAGGTTTGCCTCTGAATAGTACACCTAAGGGACTACATACCCCTCCCAGAGATGTGGACGTAGGTCAAAAGGAACAGCTGAGAAGACACACGTGGCGTGGAAAAGAAAGGCCATCTGCTCTGTTAGACAATCAAAGGCTAAATGGAGTGCTTAACTCCTGCCCCTACTGGTAGCTATTTTAGGGGGACTGAGACAGGTTGAACTATCTTAGAAGTGCTGAATTTGTCTTAAGTGTCCCTGGAGTCAGGATATTTCAGAATATGCACTTTAGAAGGAGAAGGGATGGGGGGGTGGCATGTGGAGGGGCTGGTGGTGTGAGGAGGTGGGGGGTGGGGATGGTTTTGTTGATCTGGAAGGTGATAGGGAGTATGAAAGAGGACTCAAAGGATAAGATAACCAGTGGGAGATGACTGATGACTGGTGACTGGAGAGGGTAAAGTGGAGGTCTCTAAATACGTCAGCTAAAGTTCCATGGGGGTGTGGACATTTCTACTTTAAGCTTAGTGGGCAGCTCTTAATGTCTTTATTTAGAACTGCTGCTAAAGGGATCAACTGTATTAAGATTGGGCTTCCCAGGTGGCTCAGTGGTTAAAAAAAGTAAAGTGAAAGTGTTAGTCCCTCAGTCGTGTCTTACTCTTTGGGATCTCATGGACTGAAGACCTCCAGGCTCCTCTGTCCATGGGATTTTCCAAGCAAGAATACTGGAGTAAGTAGCCAGTCCCTTCTCCGGGGGGATCAATAGAATCTGGATTTCCTGAATTGCAGGCAGATTCTTTACCATCTGAGCCACTAGGTCTGCAATGCAGGGGACCCAGGAGATGAGGGTTCCATTCTTGGATTGGGAAAATCCCCTGTAGGAGGGCATGGCAACCCGCCCCAATATTCTTGCCTGGAGAATCCCATAGACAGAGGAGCCTGGTGGGCTACAATGCATAGGGTCAAAAAGAGTTGGACATGACTGAAGCAACTGAGCATGCACGCACCTGTGTTAAGACTGCCATTTTTTTTTTTTTTTTTTTGGTAAGTAAATCTAAATATGATCTTAAGGTCTCTAACCAGGTGAGTTATTAAACAATTAATACTCAGTGCCAGGGGTCAAGTTGGTGCCCAGGAAGTAACTGTTGAATCACCTCTAAACTTGTGGGAAGTAGTATGGTTAGGTAACCTCCCACAACCAACAGAGCTCAGATTCAAATCAAGCTCTCCATTTTCCAGCTTTGTGACCCTGGACAAATTATTAACCTCTCCCAGTCCTAATTTCCACATACGTAAAACAAGTATAAATCATAGCACCTGCTTCTTAGGGTTGTAGTGAGCAATACTAAGTGCTCAGTAAATGATTAGTATTATTTAAACCATTTAACAGAGAAGGCAATGGCAACCCACTCCAGTACTCTTGCCTGGAAAATCCCATGGACGGAGGAGCCTGGTGGGCTGCAGTCCATGGGGTCCCTAGGAGTCGGACACGACAGAGCGACTTCACTTTCACTTTTCACTTTCATGCACTGAAGAAGGAAATGGCAACCCACTCCAGTGTTTTGCCTGGAGAATCCCAGGGACGGGGAAGCCTGGTGGGCTGCTGTCTATGGGGTCGCACAGAGTCAGACACGACTGAAGTGACTTAGCAGCAGCAGCAACAGCAAACCATTTAACAAGCCCCACCTAGAACACCAATTAATCATATTTAAAAGGTGATAGAAGGAATTGGTAAAATAAGAAACCTTCCCAGAAGGAGTACTTAAAATAATCTGGGGTGGATGTATTAATGCCTCAAGAAGCAATAAATCATCAGGGAAGGAGTAGCCAGGATCTGGGGAGACTGAGATGAGCAGAGAAGGAAAGAAGGGCAAAGACCTGAGTCTGACTGGTCCACAGCATCCCCTGCCCCATGGCGGGCAGGAGGTAGGAGTCTGTGATTCT